TCTGACAATTTTCTTCAATTTACTTAAAGTTAACTAGAATATTCTGTCCTGCTTTCTCCTTCGCTCTCTTATTGAAATTTAGTAATTAGTAATCCTATTTAGATATTAAATTCCCTCAAAGCCTACATATAACTATACTACTCTGCATACTTGCTCTGCTTACAGGGTATTGTAAACACCACTCAACACGCTTGATTTGTGCTTCGTGCCAGCAATACTTGTCGAAAAGTTTTGCCGACGCGTCGCAACGCTTGCTTTTCACTTCAAATTCCATTTGGACTCGAACTTTGTTGCTTTTAATCGCACGTTGGAGTCAGAAATTGGTGTCTGCATTTAATTAGTTGAACTTTGTCTCACTGAGGGAGATTGGTATAACTTTTTGTCCAAACTAATCACATAGTAAGCCTCTTTAAATTCGACCTTTATTCTGTGAAAGGTAATTAACTTTGTACAGTTTCTTGCGACGAGGACGAGGACTGAATAAAGGGAAGTTGCATTGCAATTCGAGGCTATATACCCACTTGTGCACATATACAGGGTAGATATAAGTCTATGTGACATACTCGTCTACCAATCGATGCACTTGCCATAAATCAGTTTTAGGCTATATTTATTTGTGAAAAATACTTATGTGGGATACTATATCTATCTCTTTCTCCCACTCTCTCTCTCTCTCTTATATTACCATCTATCACTCTGCCTTTCCTTCAATCAGAAATTTCACTTTCTCTCTCGTGTTACACTTTCTTATCTCTGATTATGTCACTAAATATATCTCACTCTCCCTGCCATGCATTCTCTCTCTCTCTCTCTCTCTCTCTGCTTATCTTCTTGCCTGTCTCTCTCTCTCTCTCTTCATCTTTCCCGCTCTTACTGTATTTCTCGCTCTTATTCTTCACTCTCATTCTCCCTACCATACTTTATCTTTCTCCTCTCGAAATCTCTTATTTTCTTTCTCTCTCTCTCTCTCTCTCTATCACTCTTTCGATCTCATTTATTCTTACTCTCTCCATCTACAACTCCGCCTCTCTTTCTCCCATCTCTCTCCTAATTAGGTGCAATTGTATGATGCTCAACTTTTAGCGGCTACTGTGCAGCTGTAGCTTACATCAGAGTCCCAGTCACATGCAGCGGATAAAAAGAAAAAAAAAACCTAACGAATGCGCATTATAAAAATTAATGGGTCATAGAAATTAAATGACAGCTATTCGTTAGCATTAGCTGCGAAATTAGCTCAGTAGCCAGGCGGGCTGATGATAGTTAAAGGTCTCCATCTGTCCGTCCGTCCGTTAGTCTGCAATTACAATGAGAATAGAATATGAAGGAAGCTCAAATGGAATTCAGAACATATTGACATCGATATCCATACTACGCGTGTGGGTGGGTTAATGAGCCAACAAAGTTTACCCATAATCTAGTGGAAGACACAAACTCGAAATGAGCAAATCAAAGAAAAGAAAAACGAAAACATTTCATTACCAGGCAATTAATCAAGTATTCAGTCTGCTTATCTTAACTTGAACGAGTTTCAGCTTGTTTACATACGTAAAAAGAAAGTAATTGTGATTGAGTTCAATTGCAAATGGAATTGCTTACGAAAAGACATCGATTCTAATTACTAAAACTTATGACTTTTTGTAATTACAAACGACATCTTCTAGGGGACTTTCATTAGAATTGATGAAGTTATCCATTCAGATTTTGATGTAATCCTTTGCAAAATATTTAATTATATTATATCAAAACTTTTTTATTTTCAACAAAAATTATGCAAAATAAAATTTTTTTAGATCTAAGCAAAATATTAGATATAGAATAAATAGAATTATTTTTCGATAGCCGGAATTTTCTACAAAACTGTATTTTGTATATGATGTATTATAACTTACATATATATGTATATTTGTTTATGTTATATTATTATAAACAATCTTTGTAAAGTAAGCCTTTAAAAAGAAATTTGATAATCATTTTTATCGGTTTTATACTAATATAAACAAGCTATCGATAATTAAAAATCAAACTTGTTCCACGCGTGCTACAGTTTTATTTGCATATACAATTTTAAGTAGTAAAAATTTAAGTAGCTGCCTTAGTTTCACACATTAGAACAGCAAGACAGACGCAGCGGATGATTCAGTTTTTGTTATTGCTCATATTAAAATATATTGGCTTATATAGGGTGCATAAGGCTTGCGCCAGTGTATGACATATCCCTAAACAATATATAAATACGTTGCTTATCCATTGTCAATTTAAAAGTTGAAATATGTTTGTAAAAGAATACTAAATTAATCATTATTTAAAAGTTTCTTAACTATCATAGGCAAGAAAAATAGCTTTATAAATAGAAATTTAAAATGAGTATAAAGAAATATTTTCCTCGTAATAAAAATACCAAAAATATTATTATAAAATTATATAATATCTATTCTAACTCTGATCCACAGCAATTTATATACATATATAGTATAAGTATATACAATACTTAGTACAGGGTATCTCTCTAATTGCCCTATTCAAATGACTCTATAGATTTCTGTTTTTGATCTTGTGCCAGTGCCGAATGAGCAAGAGATGTGTCCAAAAATTCGATACGACGCCAACGGCACGAGCAGCGTCCCATCGAGACAGACAATGGACAATAGTACATAGAGATGGAGCTGAGATGATTCAGGTGAGCGATTTTTACGATTTAGCTACATTGTTTATTTGTACTGGCCGCTATGTGTTTAGCGCTGTCGCGTCGGCAAATTATAAACAACAAATTTTCGAAGCTGATTTATATATTTAGATGGGGCAGCAGCAGCATCAGCAGCAGCCGTGGCATTTGGATCAACGGGCGAATAGAGACCCGGCATTCGAATGGCCCGTAGCATTTAGCATGCACATGGATCCACAATTAAGCAGACGCCATAAACATTTCCATTAGCTGTGCCCATGTCCCATGTCCAATGTCCTGGTACTTGGACGCTAATAGTTTTTTGGCCCCGGACACGTTTTGGCCATGCGCCGCAGCCAAGGGCTAAACAAATGCCAGCTGCAACTGCAATTGCTGCTGTTGCACTTTACGAAGCGCCCGGGGTCAAGTGGGCCATGCCAAGTGGCCAATGTGGTGCGAAGTTCAAGTGCAGAGCCAACAACAACAGCCAAACGAACCTCAGATCCTGCCAAGCGCTACCATTAAACCTTAAAGTTCAAAAGTTTTGGCACACCTCTTCCCAAAGGCAGCCGGATAAACTGAGCTGAATTGAAAATGGGTAAACAGACTCGAATGGTTTTATTTTTGGTTTATGTGCTCCACTCATAAATCATTACAGTCGCTCCCGATGCGATGCGATGCGATGCGTTATGGGAGACTGTGGTCTTCATTTTTAGACCACGGCTTCGCTTGAGAGACTTTTCACATAAATATTTAAGCTGAAAGTTTGCCAAGCAAAATCCAACAGCGAAAAAAATTGCATTGCATTTGAATATTGTCGGTTATAATATAATGCAAATTAAAATAAATAATTAATTATAACAATTTTTTTTATTAACTAACTTATTTTTTATATTTAAATTTATTATTCATTTCGGTAAAATTAATTATTATTAAATTAAAATTTTAATTTTCAAAACGTATTAAAAATTCATAGTTTTATTTTATTATTAATTATATTTATTTTTCTCGTTTTTACTTTTTTATGAAGCAGAAAATTTTTTAATTGTAAAAATATTATAAACTACTACTAGAAAATAAAATCAACTCTTTCAGCACTTTTAAAAAAGAAAAATTATAAAAAAGAAATCTCATTTTAATAAAGTTCGTTGCATGATTAAGTCACTTCAACTGCATGGATAGTATACATACATATGTGTAAATTATCAAAGTTTCAGCTTTTACGAAAAGTAAATCAATCATATAATATTATTTCATACCTTCACATTAAAACGTCTATCAATTTTCGCGCATCTGCGGGCTGTCAGTTGCCTGAAACCGTCGAACTATCATGAATAATTAGCGGTTTTCACCGTGTCATTTATTGAATTTCGTTTGGAGCACTTTGAACGACACAGCTGAACATACACAGAGATGTGCCTCAATTTTGGATTGTTATATATTGTGCTTACATTTACGTTTTGTTTCTTAGTGTTTCCTTTGGTTTTATGGGTGATTTGGGATATTGATACACCGAAACGCGTCTGCACTTTCTCGAATTCAAGCGGAACGGTAAATTGGCGAATGGCATATGCTCAATTTTGGTTTTTGTTGTTTAAATTTAGACTTTTTATCACTTCAACGTTTCGCACAGACAACGCAGCCGGAAGTTGACTTCAACGGTTGAATTTCCCGCTATGCGAAAGATTGTCGCTTCCGCCTACTTGGCAGCTGCTGAACTATTCACGGCAAGCGAACGCAGACGACTTGTTGGCGCGCTCAAACTCGTCGACATTTTGACTGTGGATGTGGCCGTGGCGGTCGCTGTGGCCGACAATAAGCATTCGGCACACAGTTAAACCAAAGATTGGCAGTAGGCGGTGCTGCGTTGGGCAAACAGTTATGTTTCTGCCAAATGCCGGCTTTTGAAAGCGCCTGCGCAAGTATTTATTACATATTTAAGTTAACTATATTATATTTAATGCCCAAAGTGTTGAGATTCTCTCTGCCTATTGCTTATTTTTCACTTTCGTTTACAGTTATATTTGTGATGGCAAAAATTTTAAATTTGCAAGCAAATAAATTCAAAGCGACACTGTTAGGCTCAGATGGTACTGTTTATTTTAAATTTAATAAAAAGTGGCGCCTGCCCATACCATTATTTCTTGATAAATACAGTTTTATTTATGTACCTCACATTTCATTTTTAAAGCACTCATTATTATCCTCTTGAAATTCTTTTTGTAATATTTATTTTATTCAAAGCAAAATAAACTTTAATATTTATTTATCATCAAAAATTATAAATTCTGTTAACATAAATATTCAAAAGTAACAGTGTTGAATAATATGAAAAACATCGTGAAACCACATCGATTCATACGTATGACTTATCGATAACAGCAAACTTTTATTATTCCTCTTTTCTTTGATGTCTTGCGAACGACATCGTTTTGCTGTAATAAATGTAAGTTTTTATGAAATACAACGTATATTGTTGCATTAAGCAAGTTGAGGATTATCAAGCCGATGGATTGTAAAGTATTGCAATTCGCGTTCATTAAATTATATTTGTAATTGTGTGCAAAAAGTGACTGTCAATGTTTGGCAAACGCCATGTTGGCCGCTCAAACCTAACCTCAACCGCTCTATGACACCTAAGTCAATGGCAGTTAAAAATTGTACTAATATTAATTTGTGTTTTTTGTTTGTTTGTTGCAGAACACGGCATAAGCAGAATTAAACAACATGTCACGTTTCTTTGCCAACGGCTCCGACTCGGAATCTGAATCCAGCGAAGAGGAAGTTCAAGCATCCAACTTCAATAAAGCGGCCAATTTCGTAAGTAGAATCAATATTTAATATAGAATATTTGAATAACAAATATATTCTCTGCTGCAGCAATTTAGCGATGACGAGGAAGAAGTTAAGCGTGTCGTGCGCTCCACCAAGGAAAAACGCTATGAGAACCTAACAAGCATCATTAAAACGATACGCAACCACAAGAAAATTAAGGATATTCCCAATACGCTGAGCAGTTTTGAGGATTTAACGCGAGCCTACACGAAGGCCCTGCCCGTCATCTCTAAGGAGGAGAATGGCATTACGCCCCGCTTCTATATTCGTTGCCTGGCCGAGCTCGAAGATTTCATCAATGAGGTGTGGGAGGATCGGGAAGGACGCAAGAATCTCTCGAAAAACAATGCCAAATCGTTGGGCACATTGCGCCAAAAGGTGCGAAAGTATATCAAAGATTTTGAGGAGGACCTGGCACGTTTCCGTGAAGCGCCCGATCAAGAGAGTGACGTTGAGGAGGGTGAGGGTGAACCGCATGACAGCGACGGCGACCGTGCTGGCGCTGACAGCGACGATGGCGTTGGCGCCGGAACCGGCAAACTAGCTGAATTGCCGAAGGCTGCTAAATCGGCGCCAACTAAAGCGGTTGCTGATGAGGACGATTCGGATGATTCGATCGATTGGGATTCCGATACCGAGTCGGAGACCGAATCGTCAGAGGATGAGAATCTGTACCAGAATATGCGTGAGCGTTTCCTTAAGCGTACCACCGAGAAGGAGGACAAGGATGATGACAAACGCAAGGACAAGCGCAAGGAGCAGAAGCACAAGGTGCGCAAGCGTGCCGAAGACGACGAGGATGGTGAGTGGGAGACGGTCGTCAAGGGAAATGTCGTTGAGAAGCCCAAGATGTTCGAAAAGGATGCTGAAATCGACATTCCTCTCGTGCTGGCCAAGCTGATTGAGATAATGTCGGCGCGCGGCAAGAAGCGCACCGATCGCCGTTTGCAAATCGATTTGCTGTTTGAGCTGCGAGACATCGCGGAGCAGCATGCTCTGGGCACGCCAATTAGTGTGAAGATTCATTTCAACATCATTTCGGCCATCTTCGACTACAATCAAAAGATTTCGGAGCCCATGAAGCTGGAGCACTGGGCCCTGCTGCTCGAGGTGATGCAGAGCATGATGAAGCTGCTGCTCGCAAATCCGGACATCATCATGAACGAGAGCGTGGCCGAGGAGCACGAGGAATATGTAACAGCGCCGTTTTATATACGCGGTTGCCCTTTGGCTGCCGTGGAGCGTCTCGATGATGAGTTCACCAAGCTGCTGAAGGAGTGCGATCCGCACTCGAACGACTACGTGTCCCGGCTTAAAGACGAGATCAATGTGGTAAAGACCATTGAACTGGTCGTTCAATACTTTGAGCGTTGTGGCAACAACAACGAACGTTGCCGCATCTATCTGCGCAAGATCGAACATCTTTACTACAAGTTCGATCCCGAGGTGCTCAAGCGTAAACGAGGCGAGCTACCGGCAGCAGGCACCGCACCGTCATCCGTTGAAGTGATGGACAAACTGTGCAAGTTCATCTATGCCAAGGACGACACAGATCGCATAAGGACGCGTGCGATATTGGCGCACATCTATCATCATGCGATGCACGATAATTGGTTCCAGGCGCGTGATTTGGTTTTGATGTCGCACTTGCAGGACAACATCGACGCTGCAGATCCTTCGACGCGCATCTTGTACAATCGCATGATGGCCAATCTGGGCCTGTGCGCCTTCCGTCAGGAGAACATCAAGGATGCGCATCATTGCCTGGTCGATCTGATGGTCACCGGCAAGCCTAAGGAATTGCTCGCCCAGGGACTGTTGCCTCAGCGACAGCATGAACGTTCCGCCGAGCAGGAGAAGATCGAAAAACAGCGCCAGATGCCATTCCATATGCACATCAATCTCGAGCTGCTCGAGTGCGTCTATCTTGTCTCGGCCATGCTCCTTGAGATACCTTACATTGCTGCCCACGAGTTTGATGCACGTCGTCGCATGATCAGCAAAACGTTTTACCAACAATTGCGCTCCTCGGAACGCCAATCCCTGGTGGGTCCACCGGAATCGATGCGTGAACATGTCGTCGCCGCCGCCAAGGCCATGCGCTGTGGCAACTGGCAGGCCTGTGCCAACTTCATTGTGAACAAGAAAATGAATACCAAGGTCTGGGATCTGTTCTATGAGTCAGAGCGTGTCCGTGAAATGCTTGTCAAGTTCATCAAGGAAGAGTCGCTACGCACTTATCTGTTCACATACTCCAATGTGTACACCTCAATTAGCATACCTTCACTGGCGCAAATGTATGAACTGCCCCTGCCGAAGGTGCATTCGATCATCAGCAAGATGATCATCAACGAGGAGCTGATGGCCAGCTTGGACGATCCCAGCGAGACGGTGGTGATGCATCGTTCGGAGCCATCGCGCCTACAAGCGCTGGCCATGCAGTTCGTTGATAAGGTTACCAATCTGGTCGATGTGAACGAGAAGGTGTTCGACATGAAGCAGGGCAACTTCTTCCAGCGTGGCAATATGGGTAATCGCGATCGTGGCTACAATCGCAACCAGAACAACCAAGGCGGCAATTGGGGCGGCCAGCGTCGCGACAATCGCAATCAGCGCAACCGGAACCAGCGTGGACACCACAAACAACAACAGCAGCAACAGCAACAACAAGTGCAGACCATCGAAGAGGAGTAGACACACCAAGTAGAAAAGGAAGCCTTTAAACAAATCCATGGATCATATACTGATACTAGGGAAATGGAACTGTGCTGACTGTGGTCGGACCTCCGATTTGGTTGAAACGCCAAATCGGAGGTCTACGTTTAACTTAGCATCAAACCAATTCATTGTATCCATTTTGTCCTTATCAATTATACTGTACTGTGAATTTGTTATAACGCTCATTATGCCTAAAACCTAATTGATAAATGCATTTTGTATGAACTAAAATCTAAAGTGCGCAAGTCTTTGATTCAAATAAACTAAACAAAACGGAAGGAAAAAAAGAACAAAAATCAAGCCATTTTATATTTAATAAAATCAGAGAAGACTTTGCCTTGTACATTTTTCTGTTAATTAAATTTGAATAAGCGCGCTAACTGAACTCTTTACTTGTTATCATTCAACTTGAGCTTTCGGCGGTCAGCGTACCATGCGCTATCAATGGTAGAATATCGCTTTCATATACAGAAATATGTATATCGATATGTAATCGGCAAGGTTTCTGCAGTGGACGCACATTTTATTGGAACTATTATTTAACAAGTGAAAATTATCAATTAAAACTTGAATACACTACAGCATGAACAGCATAGGCGACGATTGCAATGAGTTAAAAAAGCAGTACGATGCCTGTTTCAATAACTGGTTTTCCGAACGATTTTTAAAAGGCGAAACCGATGATTCCGTATGTGCACCAATTTTCAAGGTTTATCAGGAGTGCGTGAAGGTGAGTGTTGAATGAAAAAATACCCCTTGTGGGCAGGCACATGCAGATAACATCATACCACCCACTTATGCAGCGAGCCATGCGAGAGCAGAAAATTGAATTACGTGAAATCGAATCGGATTACACCACGGCCAGTGAATTCGACAACAACAACAGTGCGACCGGCAGTAGCGGCAAGCCGCAGGGGAGCCAAAATAAAAGTTGACCTCTGTCGCTTGATTTACAGCCCCATCATGCTGAGACGGCCAATACGGATAAGGAATGTAATGCAATAAGTAGCCAGTCGACGCCTCACGGACGTAGAGATGCATTTACTGGGAAGCATAAACGCAGTTCCACAGTCTAAAAGTATATAAAGATGCTCGTAGCAATAATTGTGCTTAAAATTGATGCATGATATAAATTAATCGTTAAAATTATGTTAAGTTTAAACCATGCTAGATTTATTAAGTGGCCATTACGGTTAAAGTTTGTAAATATATATTGTATGTATGTCTTTATAAAACGTTTTTATCAATAAATAATTGTATCATATTCAATAATTTACACTTCCCGATATTAATGCTGTGACGTCAGACATGTAGCTATCGCTAAAACCGAGAGTAACGGGATTTATTTACGTAACCTAAAGAATCATTAATAGTAGAACCTTATTATTATTCTTAACCATGTCAACACAGTTACATCAACACATATTGGCACATGTAAACACATAGACACTTGTTTTCAATGGAACTGCAAATAGCCTGAGATTCATTGTGAATTCGAATAATGATTACCCACAGGTCAAGGCCTCAAAGTCAAGTTCACTCACCCTACAAATATGAAGTCCATTTGCATAATGGATTAACCTATTTTTTAATATTATAAATTAAATAAAAGTCATTGGTTGAAACGTGTTGTATTTTGCTCAATTAAAAGCTGAAGAATATGCTCAAAAAGTTAATTTGCATATGCTTATAATTGATTTATCAAAAAACAATCCTGTGTTTTGCGTTTAACAATCTTTTGGCTTAAAATCTAGTATTAGAATCGACAGTATACGACCAAAAACACAAATAATGTAAAATGTTCTTAGCTCGGGAGACTATCGAATTATGCATGTATGTTGGTGAAAACTTAAAAAACTACACAACTTTTCGTCTTAAATTTAGAAATGAACATTCAATAATTATTTGCCAGCTGTAAACTTGGAAAGTTTCTCCAGCAAGCCAATATAAGAGGTGTGCTCGTGAGCGGTGGCTAGGTCGGAGAGTTTCTCGGCAAATTCATTGCTAATTCCCTTCTCTTCCAGAATGTTCATCAACAAATCATACAAATAGCCATCGAGCACATCTCCAGCAACTGCATACACTTTGTCGTTCCATTCGCCTTCAAAGATCGACATTTCATCGATAGAAAATACATCGTTATATTCACCCTCCTGTGCTTCGCCTTCCAAGTAGGAGCAAGTAAACGATAGGGTGGTGTTTCCCTTAATGATGTCCACTTCAAACTGAGGCTTGCTACGCATTTCACCCAATTCTGGTTTGTCGGCATTGGGATTAATTTCTGGTTCCTGCTCGCTGTCAACAGTGTGGTTCACATTGAAGCTAATGACGACCTTTTCCTTGTCCGTTTCCTTGGTCAGCTCGACATCGGCGCCACTGAGTTTCACGCTGAAGCCTTCCAGTGTGCTGGGCACAGTCTTGCCCTTTTGCACCTTGCGCTCAGCAATAATCTCCTCGGTAAGGAACTCGACCAGTTCACGTTCACCTGTGGATATAGACAAACTGTTGATTTAACTTCAATTTCAAAATATTTTTCTGGATGTCGTTAGCTGCACGTTTGTGAGGTTATGTAACCATGGAGAAACATGCGCCCATTTTTTATGAACATGGGACATGCTTTCTTTAATGAAATGCTCACCTTTAGTGTGCACATTGCAGCCACAGGTGCAATTGATGCTGGGCTTATGCACATTTAACACAGTAACGTGGTCACCACCCACCGCCGGCTTTTTGGTCATGTGCCACAGGCTGCGGGTAAAATCGCGTTTGCCCAATGCACCAGCTGTTGCGGTGGCCAAATTGGCAAATCGCAATGTTGCTGTCTTCAAGCTGTTCATCTTGTTATATAAGATATCAATTTATTATGATAATAATTGAAAAATGTGCTGCCGCTTCCGTGTTGCAACTTGCAATGGTCTTACATATGCCGATACCGATATACTTTAATAATAAATCGATATACAATTTACATAAAATATGGTTTTTCTTTTTAAATGAGGTGGCAACGCCGTTCTAGTTGGTGAGCTCGATCAAATGGATGAAAACATCAATGAAAAACTGCTTCTTCAAGTTGAGGAAGATGACACAGATCAGCATCCCTGTTGCCCGCATGGACCCACAGTGCTCTTTTATCGCCAAAGTCAACAGCCCAGCGATGGTTTCTATGCCTGTTCCGCTTACCGTAATCCTAAGCTTTGCTCCTTTCGCATGGATTACGAAAAATGGAAAGGTATCCAACAGAAACGAGTGCCAGATATACGCGCATATCCCCAGCAACAGAACGATGCAGATCCCGATCCCACTAGTCACCTGAAAGCGTTATCGCAGGACGATGTGCATGCCCAGTACTTTTTCGATCAGCAAGCCCTCAAATTCTTTGCAGATCAGTGTCGCTTGCTGAAAATCGAGTAAGTTTTAATATATCAGATTTTGTTTGAATTATGCTTTTACCTCTGTTTTTTTTTTAGTAAGGTGGTCTGTATGGGCGCGCCACGCCTACACTTTTACCTGCGTATCCATAAAATACAAAGTTTTTTGCTTGACTTTGATGAGCGTTTTAGTAAATACCTGAGTCCTCAGGAATTCTGTCTATACAACATGTGCAACAATCACTTTTTCTACCAGCGAGAGCCGTTTGAGAGATTCCTGAAATGCAATAAGTAATTATGAAATGGAACAGTTATAAATAGAATGCTAATTCCTTTAGCATTTTAGGGATGAACGCGTATTAATTGTCACGGATCCACCATTTGGCTGTAGAACCGAACTAATTGCCCACACGCTACGATCTCTGATGCGTCTCCATAATCGCCTCAATCAGCTGCCCGCCACGCCGTTGTCGATATTTTGGGTGTATCCATACTACATGGCAAACTATATAAGGCAGGATATGCCCGAGCTGCAAATGTGCGACTATAAGCTAAATTATACGAATCATAGTCGATATACGAATGTGGGCAACTCCAAGCGTTCCTATGGGTCGCCAGTGCGTGTCTTTACCAATATACCGCTTGAGCTGTTGCGCCTGCCGCCTACCGAAGGGTACAAATATTGTGATAGATGTCAACGTGATACGGCCATAGAGAATGTGCACTGCGATCGGTGCCGGAATTGCTGCTCGCAGAATGGCCAAACCTATCGGCACTGTCAGCTCTGCGATATGTGTGTGAAACCGAATTATGTCCACTGCTCGAACTGTCGCCGGTGCTGTCAACGTGTTGGACACGACTGTGGATTGTATCAGTCCATGCAGCACTGCTGGTTATGTGGCCAACGGGGCCACATTGAGAGTAACTGCCAAATCTGGTCGAAGCTCTCACGCCTGAGCAAACGACGGCAGTCTCAGCGGGATTGTTGCCTTATTTGCGGAGCGCAAAGTCATCGTGAAAGGAACTGCTCACGGCGCTGCAGTTACTTCAAGGAATTCGAATTTATGGGACAAACTTTGATAAAAGCACGAGATCGAAAGTTTATATTAACACGAAATAAAGCCAAAATGCGCAAACTTCCTAAATCATAGAAAAATATCGCTTCTTATTTTTTCTTGTTTAATACCAAATTCATTTGATCTTAACACTTTTTTTTGTAATTAAACTATTGAACTGCGTCAATGACAAAAGCGCGAAAGTAATGCACATGAACATGACCACCATAAATTGTGGAATGGATAATCTGCTACAAACTCCAAATTCAACGAAATTTGCAGCAAAGTAAATAGAAAATTTTGACAAATTATGTTTACAATTTAGTAGTTCATCAATTAACGACGGGTAACTTAAGCTTAGACAATAATTAATTTCAAGTGGAAAACACTAATGCCTCAACCAACGGAATGCGACTGTTTGATTGTTGTTGATGTTAATGTTTTGGCAACAGTTCACTTGAAATCTGATGACGTCGACAATTGGGTCGCGGCGCGCGTCCGTTGAGGTGAAAGTATTTATTTTCTAAAATGAACTGTCTAAGAACGGTTGTATTTTCCCCAAATGTGTAGCATGAAGACAGAGGCGATGAATAGCAACGACATAACCAGAACTGGAACTGGACCACTGTAAAAAAACACAAGGGAATGCATCAAGTAAACAATTCGCTATTGGTGAACGTCATGAATTTAGTTGAGGAGCAGTTTCGCTTACACTTTGATGCCGGGTGAATCGTCTGTGTAGAAACGCCACATACCACCAGTGCCTGCTCCACCGGGAGCACGACTTCTGGCCGCTGTTGTTGTTGTTGTCTTTCGTTGCTTTAAAGTGCTACCACCACCAGCACCAGCGCTACGTGGCGCCGACAATTTGCTGGGCGAGCGTGAACCGCTACCAACGGACGTCGAACTTGCAGGAGCAGGCTATAACAATCGACACCAGCAGTTTAGTATTTACTTTAAGATTTCATTACAGTTTTCACTTACCATTCTAATTTATGTGTTTAATTGTAATTAAAGGCAAATGCACACTAAGTCCGTGATTGCTGCGTGCTGACCTGGAAAAGTGTTGAAAGCGTTGAAATCAGTTTGACGTCTGCTCGTGTCAGTTTCGTGTTCCACGTCACCTGGCATTCACCCGTAAACGTAGCTTTGACAGCAAATACTCGATAAGTTTTCACAAATTTTCGATTACAATGAATATCGAAGCAATTTGATGGCGGCTTTTCCAGGTAAATCAATTTACCGAGTACAGACAGCGCCAACAAATTGCTAGCTGTGATGACATATGTATGCTATCGATATTATTATTTACAACTATCTAACTTTTATCTGTTAAAATGTTGTACAAGAAGCTAGAGCAGACATATTACTTTACTTTTATTTCCTTTGGTGATGTTAATATAAGATATGATTTTATTGATTTATGAAATTTAAGTAAAATATTATATTATTTTTAAGTTTCAAATTCTAATTGTATATATGTTGAATGGGCAATAATTTAAAATACAAATACAGTTGAAAGATATACAGTCTTTAATGTGGATTCCGTTAGAATTCAAATGCTCCAGAACAGCATGAGTTTATGAATCTGCTATTTATTTAATAAATACGTATTTAACAATTTATTATTATATAATTAGCATAGAACACTGTGTATAATAATTATAATAAATAAATATTTAAAATTATTGATTCGTTTAGCAGTTGATTTTCATCGCATTGTATTTTTATCGATTAGGTATCGATATCAATAGAAGCATACACATACTCTTTTTTGTACATCTCTAAGTAGTTTTTGTAATGGTAAAACAATATTAATTTTAATATTTAGCGCTGTGTGTTTGTAATTTCTTACTGGTTGCACGAACGGCGTGACATTTTGCTGCATCGTTGCTATGGTGCGCAAATGTACACCACAATCCGACAGTGACAAACATATACTTGAAGAGTAAATGCAATCGCTACATCGCAAAAGCAAAGAAAAAAAATAAATAACGAAAAAGGAAAAAACAAATATATGCGGAGAAAATAGTTTTGTGAAAATGGACGATATAGAAATAGAATATCTAGACGAATACAAAGACTTAGTTCTACCAGGTAAGTGTAATATTTGAGAATATGCTGCCCTATCTACGACTCGTTGAAATACGTTTTGTTTGTCAGGCATCAACACAACCAGCGAAAGACGCATGCAACAAACGTTGATTCGAGCGCCGATCAACAGACGTATATCGTCCGATTCAAGCGGTTCATCGTCCATAGATCCAGATATTTTTCAGAAACTATTTGACGGTAAATTTCTTGACGACGAGTTAATAACTGAAAGTAAGAGTCTCATATAAACGCCAATAAAGTTGATTTCTACTAAGCTGCTGCTTGTGTATTTAGGCGGTCCAAATGCGAAGGGTAGTCCTCGGCGTCGGGTGAGCTCTTCATCGAGCGACTGTAGCGATGCTCTGGCTGCATTGTACAATCGACAAAGCAGCAAAGGCAAAGGCACAAGACGTGATCGGCTCGATTCATATGATTCAATTGATGATTTGGGTAAGTGATTTTTTGTAAGTAATAGAGAACACTCGTTTAAAACTTGTTTTCTTAATTAGGTGATGCATTAATGGGCCCAACCCACAAATCGCTATCAAAATCAACATCGTCGCAGGCAGCAGCAAGAAAGACTCTAAGTCATAACGGCATGGACAGGTCTAAAATTACAAATAACAAGTCCCAATTATCTGCAACAAAGCGCAATAATCCAGAAAGCTTTAAGCATGAAATGAGGCCTAATGACAGAAGCAGCAGCAGTGGCTCCTCAAACCCGCCCATGGTGCACAAAAAGAAAGCTGTAACCATTATAAAAGCTAAGAAACCAGACTTGAAGCCACCCAAACATGAACCCAAAGAGGATCCACTAAGTAGGTATTTTATAACTACAGTCTGGCTTTTTGACTAACTGTGTGTAAATTGCAGACTTGCGAGAATTCTCTGATAACACAGACAGCGATTCATCTTATGAATACGAATCCGATTTCTATGGCTATGGCGATTCAGATGATGATGATGGCGAGGTATCGAAGCAAGTTATTGATATATCAACGGATAGCAGTACGGTGACATCATTGGCGGGTAAGTCGGAGTTACACAACTAGTTGATACTGCCAACCCTCTGATTATATTTATAATGTGCGTAAAACAAACCGTGTAGACACTGTGACACCTGTTGTTTCCGAAGACGAGAGCCTGAAGCAGCAGAAGCAACAAACACCAAATGCCCAAAATGACCGTCTTCAGGTGTATCTAAATAATCTAAGTAGTGCCGAAACGCCACCATCTAAGCATAAATATACAAGCACCGCAAAGAAATCGCACTCCCACGAAAAGCAGTCCAATACATTAGCACAAAAAGATCAAGATCAGGATCAAATTGATCAGGTGCAGGAAAAGGGTAAGTTTTTTCTAATTCTTTATATTATATGTTGCATATTTCACATTTTTCACTTATTTCGCTTTAATTTTTACAGCCGAGAAGCAACTTGACAGTCCCTCAAGCAGTAAAACTCAACCGAACTACTGCAATGAGATGGACAATGTATCTCCAGCTGATTATGTTGATGTTAACTTAACCTACGAAACAGTAGAACGTTTAAGCCTCAATCTTGCCGAGGAAATCATTAGTATTGATGCTGAGCGCTCCAAGGAGTTCGAACGTCGTTCTGCTTCCAAGACGCGCAGCTTATCTTCTTCAAAGAAAGTGACTCAGCCAACAGTTAGGTCGTCGCTCTCCAAAAGCCATATACGCAAACTCACCTACTCTAACGAAAAGTTAGATGAGAAATATCCGCTAATGCACACACTTCGTCGGGTCAAAAGTTGTGGTGGCTTCCCGAAACGTGATCTGGAAAGACAACCAAAGAACAGGGCTGCAACCACAGAGATACAACTCACGAATGAACCATCATCGTCACCGAAAAATCTTGTGGAAGCACCTAAAGAGCAAGAGCCAAAAGTCGAAATTGAAACGAAACCCCAACAGGAGAAGGTAGTAAAACGTGGGCGTGGTCGACCGAGAAAGAACAAAGCAGAGCCAGCTAAGCCTAATCTGTCACAAAATCCCAATCTAACTGTCAGTGTAGAGGAAAAAGTAAATTCTGGGTGCACGATTTCTGAATCAAAGTCTTCGAACGAAACTTTGAAGGAAGCGCAACACGAGTTGAAAATAAATGACAAAGCAAAAATCATAGAAACAAATATTGATTCAACTTCTGCAACAAACGAAGGCAATAAAATTGAATTTAAAGCTACTCAAATGGAGGCTGATCATGAAAAAGATAACTCAGAACGGACAAGTGCTGGGATGTGTCTGAATATAGACGGTGCGCTAAATAATGCGAAACCATGTGGAAACGAAGGGGAAAAGGAAACTGCAACCTTGAGTAAAGAAGAAGCAAATGAAAATATAAAAAAGTCGAGCGCTCCGAAAATTAACGAAATTGATATACACAATCGAGGAAAAGTAGGCCGAGACTGTCGAGATGAAATTGAAATCCCAGATGACAACAAAATAAATTCGACTGATATATCAAAAAAGAATATTAACAGTTCGGTTGTAGACAAAAAAGATAACGAGCAGGAAACTGATAGACCGGATGATGACAAAATGGAAAAAGTTGATAAAGACGCAACTCAAATAATGAATCCTGAGGCATATTGTGAGAAAAGTGATAAGGAAGTGACCGCAGATGACGTTGATAAACAACTAAGGTCAGATTCAAACGTGGATTTAGTCAAAAAGAAACGTCGCTCGGCAAACACATCGAGAAGAAGCGAAAGTCGTAATGCCAGACGATCGCGTAGAAGTGATGCTGATTCCTCTGGAACTGCCGCACCTGCACCACGGCGCAGTAGTCCTCGGGTGACAGAAAAGTCACCAGCTGGAGGAACTCAAAAGGCTGATAAAGAAAAATCTAAATCTCATTCAAGCGCTAAACCCCCCAAAAAATCCAAAGAAATTAATATTGTGGACCCAAGTTCAGAAAACTTAAGTCATAAAAAGTCTGCAAAGGGCAGACCGTCACACAGCTCCAAATCAACAACAGCTAAAGCTAAAGACAATTCCACAACGCATAGGAAATCGCGGAGTACAAAGTCTAAGCCAAAAATCGAAGAGTCGCCACCCAGGCAGATGGAGACTATCGAATCAAATTTGGCCGCAATGATGGAATCTGTATCACTTCCATCCGATGGTGATTCCAATGAAGCAAAGACAATTGATATTAAACAGAATTCAGAAAAAGATATTGATACTCCCACATCTTCAGATACTCACATTAGAATAGATGGTAAGACTATAGAATCCTCAAGGGAGGCAGCATTAACTCAAACATTGTCCGATCTCGAGCTACTTACAACATTGGATTTAAATGAGAATTCAACTTATAGCGAGCAGCAACCAAATATTCCAGATACCCCTTCAATTCCATCCATTAATACTACTGAAGATCAAAATGATTTATACAAATCTCTTGATTTGGATATTGTAGTCAATAAGCAGGAAAACTTGTGCGAGGAGTCGGTCGTAGCTAAACAGCGTGCCGCAGTACCTCGTGGATTAAGAGATCTCCTGCAGGAAGCAGGAACTGAAAGACAACACGAGAGAGCAGGAAGTCGTGCCCGATCCACGCGCTCCAGGGTGGGGACGCCCATTCCTCCAAAGTCGAGAAAGACTAGGATTAAGGAAACTAAATCATCTGAGACTCCAAAGAAAGAGCAGACTAATGACAAACCAGAAACGAAATCAGATCACACTGCAACCTGCAGCGAATTGCCTATAGAGAAGCAAGAGAATGAAGTTCCCAACTTAAATCGAAGTGAAGCCAGTCAAAACATCAGTTTTGATGCAGTTGAGAAAGCCGTTGCTACGGATCAATCAGAACATCCAACTGTATGCAATGATATTCGACATGCAATTGAAAAAGGTAATCAGGCTTGTGATCAGAGTACACCCAGCACTTGCTCCTCGAACAGTTCATGTCGTAAGCTTCGCATTCTAATTAAGAAACCAGTGCCACGCTCTAAAATCAATTTTGGCCAACTTGAAAATGTTGAGCATGCAGACGATGAGTTGGAAGATCCCACATATCCATCAGATCAATCAGTTTGCCATGATGTAGGAGATAAAGCGACCGAGAGGGAGCCATTGAAGAGCCTACCAGAAAAAATCACTGGAGAGGATCAACTAAATCTCAATGAGCAAGCAGAAAACGCAACACATATTACAGTAGATCAGCAAAAAGATCCAGCTACAGCCGATACCAAAATTAGTGAAGAGGACTCAGTTCTAAGGGATGCTAAGGATAAGCTAACTGACCAGGAGACGGCTAGCATGAAACAGCAGCACAATGAGAAGGATGACGCATTTGGGGAGGAGAAGATAGCTGCTGAAGAGCGTCAACTTGATATGGCGATATCACAACAACCAGAGCAAGAGGCGTCTTCTCAGCTGGCAACTCCCAACGAACAGCAGCATCAGCAATCGGACCAAACAGCTGCTGAACCTATGGAACAATCAGCGGATGAGCAGCCACGGACTACAGTTAACATTGATCAATTATGCGCAACGGAAACAACAGGTGTCATGGAACATGTCGATGAGGAGGAGTGTACCGATACTGGGAGCTCCAATCAGATGGATGCCTCTGAACCAGATGGTTAATAGCTATTCCAATAATATAAACTTTAAACTTTTCCCATTTCATTTTGTAGCTCGATCTCTAATGTTCAATTTTCGTTTTTCTTCTAATCTCTTGTTTTTTTTCATCAGCCGCTAAGCGCAAACAAATGTTGCAAGCGAAACATGCGAGTCGCAGCATTGCGATGGCGCCACCAGCAGTACCCAAATCGGAGCTATCTAGTGGTAAAGGGGGTAAGTATCTTGTATATATATAATAATATCAAAATTAATAAAACTCTCATCCTTTCACAGTCGTGCGACGTCCAGGAAGGCTCATCAAGCTGAGTGATCAGCCCAAGCAGAAGCGTCGAAAGTTGGCAGTAATGCAGAGTTCTTTGGAGGACAATAGTAAAAGTCAATTAGACACACAGGTATCGCCCTCTTCCACAAATGAGGCTATGGAGGAGCCAGGAGGCAAGGCCAGCGGCAAGCATATGCTAGCTGTCAACATGAGATCCCCGATTAAACCATCCCCACCAGGAGTCAGAAAGTTGGGAAAAACGTTAACAGCGACAAAGCTGAGCAAGAACGATGAGGTGAACAAGACGCCGCCAATTAAATCTAGTTTATCAGCATTATTGAGCGACGATGACTCCATGTCCATCAATAACACAGTAATAATAACGAAAACGCCAATAACAAATACGACGGAACCGTTCAAAAAGGTGGAAACGCCAGCATCTCCTGCTGTTGGCATCAACATATCCGTTTCATTGCTGCCTGATCCTAACAATCAGACGAGTTCGCCGCCCAAGAAGACAATGACTCAGGCAGAGACGGCAAAGAAGCTGATGTCGCTTAGTGCGGCAGCCAAGAAGGAGGAATCATCTCCAATAGCAAAACAATCTGTAGCCTCGCCTATCGCACCAAATTTGCCTGTGCAGTCTGCTGAGGCTGGCAAAAAGATGAAAGCCCGTAAGTCGGAAACAGATAAGCGAACTCCAAAAACACCTTTATCTCGAATAGCAGGCAAAGCAGCTTCCAGCGCAGCCAAGAAGAGTCCAAAGCCAACAGAAGAAGCAAGTGAAATGGCGAAAGCTAAAGAGCCAACAAAACCAGCTGCGATTGTTAGTCCAATAGTTAATAGAAAATCCTTGCCACAAACCCATGCGAAAAAGCTGGACACACACACTAATGAAATATCTGCAGCTCCGGTAGAAGCAGCTGGCATCAATGAGGGCAACGAGGCGAGCGAATCCATAGCTGCCGAAGAATTAGTCGAAGCTCAGGACACGCAGAAAAAGGATTCGCGAAAGTCTACGGGTCAGAAATCGCTTAGAAAATCCAAATCCAAATCCAAGGAAGTACTAGCGGTGGCAGAGGCAACGGAACCAGCATCATCAGAATCTATGCCATTGGCAACAAAAGGCCCGTCGGAGTCGCGGGATTCGTCGACTGAGCGTAAGAAGCGCAAACCGCGTGTGACAAAACAGACGAAAACTGTGACGCCGATGACACGCGCCTGCAGCCATGCCCGCTCTTTGGCTGCCACGCCCACACCGTCAACACAACGCAATCCCTCCAACGAGCGACAGCCACTCACAATGCCCCCACTCGTCCCACTGGCATCAAAGCCACAACGACAAGCGCGCAAGAGTCTAAAACAGACCAAAGCCGAGGCGCAGGCGCAGAGTCGGGGTCAGGCTGAGTGCTCTGAGCCGGCGAAAGCTACACAGTCGCGGAAGCGCAAGCCTCCGGCCAAGTCTCTCGCAGGCGGAGCGAAACGCTTAAAGGAACAGCCAGCCATGTCAGAGACAGCTGTTGCGTTCCCAGTGCGTATCACAGCGGCTGCCCTTACTGCTAGTCGGACATCAATTGCCGAGCCAATGGCAGCTGTACGGCCACTACCGCCTCTAGTACCAATAATGCCGGCAAAGCTAGTGCAGAAGGAAAAGGATTTGCAGCTTCCGCCTCAGCCCTTGCCGCCAAAGCTGCGCAAGTTGCGAGTGCGTCTCAATCGATCCGTGATACCCAATTGGCTCAAGAGCCTGAAGCAAGCAGAGCAAGCCGCCCAGCGCTTGGAGCCTGCGACAGCTACAGCGCCGCCTAGTGCCACAACTGCAACAACAAGTGCAGCTCCAAAGCAAACAGAGCCTCTCATCAGCAAATCCCAGCCGGCTGCGCGTAGGCCACAAGTGAAAATACCAATTGTCAACTCTGTGCCGCTTCCAGTGCCTCTGCCAGTGCTGGAAGTGAAGCCGGAGCTGCCCGAAATGGAGGAGGAACCACAATCCAACAACAGTGCAGCCGCAGCACCAGCGCTGCACTTGGAAATTGATGTTCCAGTGCCATCCATAGCTCAAGTTGCGGCAAGTATATCAAGCAGCCAGACCCCCACCAGAGTGGAGCCAGCAGCGATGGCGCAGCCGGGAATGAATATGGCTAGCAGTGCGATCAACGCTATCAGCAGCCATGCCAACACCGCCATCGCACCCGCCCCTGCCCCTGCTCCTGCTCCTGCCCTTGCCCCTGCCCCTGCCCCTGCCCCCGCTAACACCAGCGGCACCACCAGCACCACCAGCTCAATACCTCCAGCGAATGTCATCAGCGATCAGAATACGTTCGGCACAACGAAAATGTTTTCGTTTTTGTATCCATCACGCTATCAGCGCTCCTACAGCCAAGTTGGACTGGACTTTTGTTGCCCGAACCTGGACGGGCCGATGCAGGCCATTGATCCGACGCGGCTGCACTCGAAAGCGGAGGTGCCGGTGCTAGAGTTGCCCCAGTATATGGTCATATCGACAAAGATTATCTCGAGGCAGGACAAGAACATACCGCCAAAGGTGCGCGCCAAGCTGGAGCAGCTGGCGGCGGCCAGGGATGCCGAAACCACCAGTGCCATACCAACGGTGTTGCCAGCGGCGACAGCTGCCGTGGCCACGCCCCCAGTGCCAGCAGTGGCGAGCAGTGCGCCGCCAACCATGAGCCATGGAGAGACGGTTGCCAAGCAGCTACCTCCACAGAATACAACCTTGGCCAAGAATCCGCCGCCGGCAAATGTTACACCTGCTGCTGCTAATGCAGCTGCAGCACCGAAGATACTCTCCTCGCCTCCGCCCTTAACTGCAATCAGATCAGCGAAGAAATCATTACCATCAAGGGGCATGCTGCAGTTGCCGCCGATTTGTCCCACTGACAAGATGCGCACGGATCTGCAATCTCGTGTGCAGCTCTTCGATCATGTGCTACAAGGCCTATCCCGACGAGCTGCAGTGATGAGTGTATTGGAACGGCAACAAGTCATCGAGAATATTGTGAAGACGAGCGCGCTGCTGCCGGTTGATGTGGAGATGGCCATCAAACTGTTGGAGAGCTATTCATATTGCTTGTATGCAGTCAACAGTGCCAATGCTACTAGGAATCACGAACAACGTCAGCAGCAGCAGCAATCGACAGCCGCAGCCAGCACATCCAACTCCAGAGCGGCAGGTGTTGCTGCTGCTGCTCCTGCTGGTGCTCCTGCTCTTACTGCTAGTCCACAGCCGGGAGCCTCGAACAGCACGCCTGTTTACGATGCAAGTAATAAGATTATTGGCTATCAGTATAAAACTCCAAATATGTCCATGAAATCATCGCGCGGTACATTCGTCAAAGTGACACCATCCTCAACAGCAGCTGGATCAGGAGCATCATCACCCGCAGCAGGAACAGCAACACAGCAACGTGGACGTCAAAGTGCAGCCAGCGGCAAGGTGAGTCGAACTTCTCTAAATAATCCTTGTATAGAATACTAATACTTATTTATTCAATTACAGGTAGCAAGCGTCAACTTGGTGTCACCCACAGTAGTGCCTACGCGCGTGGCAAAGAGAGTAGGGTCCGGTACCATGATTCCCTTTAATCCATCGCCAGCGCAAAAGACCTATGCAGGGCGCTCCACGGCGGCGTCAGCCAGAAAAGCTGTCGCCACAGCGGACAAAGCGGCGCCCGTGGGCGTCGTCAATGGAATGCCCCAGCTGGGAGCGGTGCCACAGGCAGCGTTAGCCGAGGACAACATGAATCGTACCAATCTGTTTATTGTAAATCAGTTGATGTCGCAGCAGGAGGAGTGCATATTGCCCGATGCAATTGGTACAGTAGAAACTGCTGCTGCCGACATCAAGGGTGAGCTTGAAGATGCCGAAACATTAACTTAATTCATACAAATATATTAAGGAAAAGAGTAATTATAAATACACCTAAAGTATGAAAAGTATTTTAAGCTACTTTACCAAAAGTAAGATGATGAAGCCCATATTTAGAATACAAATCAACATATGTAAAACATTAATTTCGGGCTGCAAAAGGCTTGTTAAATTTCCACCTTTGCCTATACTGCTAGTTTTTTTTAAAATAATAATAAAAAAAATCGCTAAGTGAGCGCATATGTTATAAATTTTCGCTGTTATCATTGTATCAGTATCAAGTGAAAAAGCGTTTGTTTACTAGCAGCAAGTTGGCAGCACCCAAATTTAAATACTCAAAATTGGTTAGTTCAGTGAACTCGCATTAACTTATGTTTGTTTTTTCATTTATTGTGATCTGCAAAGTTCATAAACTTCCAAAAACTCCAAATGAATTATTAGTTCACATTTACCAGGGCAACATGAATTTCAATTACAAGGGCTGCAAAAAAGAACAAACAATTGAATTTAATTTAAATAATTTTTCAATTAAATACTTATACCAAATTATTTTTGTTAAAAATAAAATAAAAATTAGTCTTTATTATTTGTATAAAGTTTTATTAAAAAAATGGAATAAATCAAATAATAAAATCTTTTAATCAACGAACTGACGTCACACACATACGCTATGATAATGTTCTCGCGCTCAGAGAGCGCCAAAGTAACGGAACTGCGCAGTGAGTCACCTTGTTAGTGTATGGGTACATGCCGTTCGGCATTCTTATAAGAGAAGAGAACAGACGAGCACAACAACAGTTTTCGTTTGCCGGCTGTTTGCAACGAACGCATTCCTAATAAGCGGTTGCCGCATCACTTTCACACTTGTCCGCGCTCACCTTTTTGGATTGTTTCGCGTTTGTCGTGTGGGCGCGCGCCGCCGAGCAATAAAAATAATAAATAAATAAAATAGGGAATATTGTGATTAGGAGACGTTTAAGGAGTGTGTTGCGTGGGGCTTGCTGCGTGCTGCGTGGTGTGTGGCCAAACAATTAATACAAATATTAATTAATTGATGTGAGGAGATGGCCGTCGAAATCACAAACACAATATTATCGCTACAGCCGGCCGTTGAGGCTGAACCGTTGGCGCCGCAATCGTTCCACTGGCAGCTCGAGGATTACGCATACTTTCACAAGTGCGGAGAGATAACCACATCGCCGGACGTACAATGTTTCGGTTTCAATTGCGCCTTCTGCCCGGCCATTTGTCTACAATTTTCGGTTTTCATAGATCACATACGCGGCCATCACATGCAGGAACTGCGCCGGCGCTACGAGGGCGCCGATGCGAAAACTGAACAAACAACGCAGACCGATTTCAATTTAATGATAATGGATATGCATCTCGAAGGTGAGCCAACAATAACAGGAACAGCAGCAGCGGCAGCGGCAACACCAACAACAACAACAACAACAACAACTGTGCTCAATGCAACACCTACTCCAGTGGCCCCAACAAAACGCACAAAGAACCCGCCCAATTGGAATGAGGCGCAGGCTTCAATGGGGCTGCCAGACATGGACATGGGCCTAGACCTCGCTAGCATTGTACAAACATCGGCGCTGCCAAAGACGAGCAACAACAATGCTGCGCTATTGCAACTAAACAGCACGGCAACAGCAGCAGCAACAACTGCACTAGCAACTACAACAACAACAGCAGCAGCAGCAGCAACACCTGCCGAAATGGACTTCGTTTATGTTATGGAAAATCCATTGCCACCCTCGCCTCCGCCATCGGCTGACATTTCGCGCTGCGAGCAGAACGCGCGACTGCACTCGATAGATCCATTTGAAATATTTCATGAGGTCTGTTCCTCAGCAGTCGCGCACACACACACACACACCCATAACAATACCCACACACAGGCACTAGCGCAGACACACGCACAGGCACAGGCACTGGCACACGCGCATGCACATGCAAACACACACACCCACACACAGACACAAGCGAACACCAATACGAATACATACGAGGCGGCGGAGTCCAGTGGCGCTGTCAGTGTAGTCGCCCATCCCCGTTATGAGACACGGCGCGTGGTAAGTTAATCGTTGATTCTTGTTCGCACACAGCGCCCGCCTCCCCCTTTATTCAGCCCGCTCTATTCCCTGGCCCTGCGGTCATTTGGCTGCCGTTGTTTTCCTTGTTGTTGTGAAAAGAACAACAGCAAAGAAAAGGGGTTTCCGTTGTTCTGGCCCTTAGCAAATAGGTTCGACAGCGGCTGCTCGACCTTCAAAATAACGGCGCATTAGCGGCTGCGGCAACGGCAATGTCAGCAGCAGCAGCAGCAGCAGCCACAAAATACGAAAAACTGTGTCGCATTTATAGCATACCCTATGTCCATGCAACAAATAGGGCATGCACTGTTTAATAATCACTTGAACTGTGAGCTAGCTTTTTATGTTGATTTTATTTAGATTTCATGAAATATTAAATAAATTAGTGGTGAATGTGGAATTCTATTGTATATATACATGCTAATTAATATATTTTTATTAACTTATATGCCATATCTGCCTATATAGAGTATAATATAGTCAAGTTCCAGCCAGCCAGAGAATTCAGAAATCAAAAATAGAATTTAGCTACGGAAAGTTTTTTTTTTTCTCGTTGGCATTGAGGATGCCTGCAAACTGTGCATAACAAAGCAGGGTATCTCAGCAGTCGCGTTGCAGTCATTGGCCATTCATTACATTTTGTTTACGTCCTCGTTTATCCCGATATTCAGCCTTGGGAGCTGTTTCGACCAGGCGTGGCGACAGGGGCGTAGTCAGACGCACTTCAGCAGCTTCAGCAGCGAGAGTATTCGCTATTTTTACTCGCGGACAGCGTGCGACGTGTTTTTTTTTTTTCCATTTTCACTTGTTTTGGTTTCGTCAAAAAAACTCTGATTTTTTTTGTGGAAATACTATATAATGACGCCAAAAAATACTACGACAAAAGCTAGACAGCAAAAAAAAAAAAAAAAAGAAAAAACAAACAACTGATTTCTAGCAACAACAACATAATAAATTTATGTGCTCACAAAATAAATACAGCCGAGGCGTGGAAAAAAGCCTTCGATTAATGTGCTAGAACAAAAAAGAAATGGAAACAAAAACAAAACTACTTCTGTTTATATTTATTTATTTATTTATTTTCTTTTTTTTTTGCTTTCGGCTTTTTGTTTTGCGCTGATTTTGTCAAACATACAACAAAAAAGTGAAATAGAAATAAAATAAACATTTCAACTAGCTCTAAACAATTTAAATAAAAAAAAGTAGTTTGAAAAGATGTCACAAATAAAAAAAAAAACTATTTAGAAGAGTGAAGACTTTAATAAGATTTAAATGTTTATGTATCTATTATATTATAATATAGTGTACATGTGGATGTATATGTATATATACATACATATGCATGACTTCTTTAGAATACCCATTGAAAATGGAAGTACAGATTCTCTAATGGTTATATAACTAAGCAGAAAGAGGCGTGATAAATCCAAGAAAAAAACTATATACATAAGTATGTATATTTTTGAACCGGATGACGAACGAAATTGATCTATGCTCTAGACATTTGTTGCTATGATCCCAACTATCTCAGAGCACTTAAGCACAGGAAACTTAGATTTGTGAGCTATTATATATGTTTTTTATATAACTTAAAATATATATTTATCTTTCCTGTTCCTCTATACTATATATTTATTTTAAAAAAGAAAATTAAATAAATACAACAAGAACATGCCCATCGGCAGCTACTGACGGTATAATACACGTTCACAATTTCGGAATCGGCAGCCAGCCAAAAGTTATTAAAATATACCCTCGATTTTCGTTTCAATTTCAATTTCCACAATCTATATTTGGCACAGCATTTGCAGTAAAGCTTTTTACTTATTTTCTTTCCAAATTTGGTCATCTTATAAATATAAAAATTGTAGAACATATCAGTGCATTGATATATACATATAAATATATTGTGAGTATTTTTTGCCCATGGACAGCCATGGCATGTTGCAATCGGGCGGAACAGACTGCAAAATACTCTTTCAAGATACAATATTCATCAAATTGGTTTACAAAATTTCCACAGGGTGTGTTTATTATTATATAATAAACTTGGTGTGGGTGTAACTGTTGAAGGGCTAATTATTGACTCCAGATTTCTAGCTGTAAACCTGTTGAACACACCTCTTACAAAGCTGATAATTTATTTATACACATTCATATATTTCACACTCCAAGACTTTAATTTTCATAGTGCCTTTAATGGGCGTTTCCCAAAAGCTGGAGCATTTTAGAATATGTAAATACACATGAGCTTCGCTAACATTTTCCAAAATTCAACATACCCTCTTTTTACTACTTTAGCGAACATAAAACCAAGAGATTAAAACTTAAATAATTTGCTTAAATTAAATAAGTTTTTGAGCTTTTACCCTTTTTTGATGAGTATGAATGTTGGTAAATCTGTGGGGCCTGAATATATATATATATATATATATATATATATATATTTATACATACATGTATATTTTATATACACTAAGGAGTGAAGAAAAATATTAAAAATTTGCATTTTGGGAAAATGAAAATGCGTCAATATAAATATTAAATTGTTGTGGCCTGAAAAATTGCATGTACGGTGCGAGGGTGGCTTATAAAATTCTGAAAAAAAAAATAAATATATATATATATATATATACATATATATTTTATATAAAATATTTATGCATAAATCACTGTTATTTACCTAATAATAGATATTTCACAATAACGAATTTGGTCGTAATTTTCATTGAAAGATTTTTGCTCTATTTATACTACATTGAGTCTAGGCTACTCTATCGCTTAACCCCCCGCCTTAACCCTGCTTTCGATATCAGACTACATAGAACTCATGGAAAACAATTGTTGTTTTTGCCCCCAACCCCAGACGGGTCTACTCATAGAAGTTTCTATACAATTACGAGTAATAGCCACTCCATAGCTAACGGAGGCAAGCTCTTTTATTTTTTTTTTTACGAATACTCGTCCATGATGTGAAAAGAGAGTATATTGGGTTATACTATTGATAAACAATAAACTCATTAACAGACATTTTAAATTTAATAATGTACATCATAGGCTCTTTATATATATTTGTATATACCAAAACCTGAAGTAACATCGCATAGTGCCTATTATTTGGGAGCCGAATCTTTCTCAGTTTTACAGTTAAAGCTGTAACATTTTCGATGTTGTTTAATGCTGTTAGCAAATCTTTTTCATATTAAGACAAAAATTCATATAGATTTTTACATCTTGAACGAGTATTAGGCAGTCGATAGCGTATTTTAGTTGTTTTTTTGTTTTAGTTGCTTTTTTTTTTATCAATAAGTCTGGGGGCACATTTGCCTGTTAACGTTGACGTTACTATTATCTATAAACCGGGAAAGTAAACAACGAAGCAAATTATCTATGCTTCGATTAGGCAGACATTCTCTATATATGTATATATACATACATACATATATGCTATTAGGGGTACGCACAGTGGAGCTAAATGGCTGATAAACACGTCATAATTCAATTGAAGTATTTCACTTTTCATTTATTTGGGTTAACCTAGATCTATCTATGAATTATTTCTTTTTTTATTAAATAACATAAATAGAACTTTAAAAATTTTCCATTAATTATCTATAAGAAAGTACAACTCTTGCCACTTGAGATTAAAATCCATTGCAATTCTATAGATCATATTGGAATATAGTATAGGAACATACGACTCTATTTCAATCCCGCAAGAGAATCTCTTACTCATCGACGACGACAACGACGACGCGTCGTCGATATCAGCTCAGCCTGTGGGCAATAAAACAATTTCAATTCAATTTTTTTTTTTCGTCGCTATTGAAACGGCTCAATAGATAAGGTGAACGAACGTGTGTATTCCACACAGCTCTCCCATTGGCCTAAGCAGCTTTTAATGTACATTTAAACACCGGTAAATTGGTATTTTTAGAGCACTTGTCATAAAAAACAAAAGCAAAAGAAACACCTATCGCAATGTTTCTCGATTGGAGCGCATAAATCATTAAACTCGCCTGAAGTGTGGAAATCATAATATTACAGACTATATATGTGTACATTAGCACAAGAGCCGTTATAAATTATTAAGATCGGGATCTGCTCAAAAGTAACTGAAAATATTTAATGAAAAAACTTGATTGAAACCCGATCAAAATGAGTCATATATCTCTATAACTTGTAGATCTTCTGATACCCAAGCTCTGTAACTTAAGTGACATTCAATCTTAGTAATAAGATATAATATTAAACTATTTTATGCGATGAAGTAATTCATGTAACTGCAAAAGACTGTTTATAAATTCCAGTTCTATTATGAACATAGTTTATTCTTAAATGAAAGAAAAATTCTTATAATTATTATAAAAATAAAAAAAAATTTAAGTGCAGACCTAATAGATTGATATGTCTAGTAACTTGTGAATTTTATGAAATTCCAGCCATAGCTTAAGTTTCATTCAAGCTTAGCATAAAATGTATAATATATGAGCGATTCTAGTAGATTATGAAATTCCAGTTCTGTATTTTAAGTATCCTTCAATTAATGGAAAATTTTAAAAGAAAAACTATTTCATGCGATTCACTGATGTAATGTAATTAATATGCAAAAGATTATTTGCGAAATTGTTAGCCTAAATAAGCACAGAGAATTATTTCATATCATCAGCCCAATGGAGTTTTTTTTTTTTTTGACTTTGTCACGAATTGATAATTCCTCATACTTCACTTGATAAAATTGCGAATTACAGATAATCTCTGGCTAATTTACGATTGCCTTAAACTAAGATTATAGCTAAAAGCCTAAGTAAACAGGTGTTTTTTATGCTCCAAAAAGAAAAAAGAACAAATATATATATATATGTATATTTTTATTTGTACATTTATGTGATTAATAAGTTTCAAGGACTCGATCATTTGTCTTCTTATAAAAACTACGCTAAATTCTGTCTTGTCTTTTATGATCGATCTGCCTCTCTCTC